TATTTACTAAAAACATAAGATCATTAAATAACAAAATAATTTAAATATTAATAATTCAATCTAATGATTTGAATTAAAAAAAAGAGCAGTACCCACAGACAAAATAGACTTGCCTTAGGGAGAAAATGATACGGCCGGGCGGGTGCCTGAACGGGTGCCTGTTTTCCAGTTCGCATCATTCATATTTGAGCAGTTGACCTGTGATGATATATTATTTATGTAAAATTCTTTGAACATTATGGGTAAATGTGTTGTCAAAGTGTGTCCTAGTCGTAGTGAAACTAGTTCCAGCCAATTTCAACCAATTTCCTTTTTCCAGTAAGTAGTAATTACGAGATAAATTTTAAGCGATTTTATTAATTTTGCATGTCAATATCTTGCTTGCGCACACAGATGTTGTATTGTTCTCTCCTGTGCACAGAGCCGTACTTCGTTCATTCTGGAGCGTAAAACTAGATGAATTTCTTTGATAATCCACTAGGAATATTTTAAATTAGATACCGCTCGTACGAAATTATTTAATACGGGCCTGGCAGAATACATATCTTTTCTTATATAATATATAATATAATGTATACATTCCCTTGCCCCCTTCCCCGATTTATGGCACGCTGGTTTCATGTTAGCGATACTGAACAGGGCAAGTCTATTTTGTCTGTGGCAGTACCTATTAAAGATACAACATTTTATGATTTTGTGTATTGTGCAATGACCTAATCTTTTAAAACGTTAAAACATTTTTCATAGCAATTCACATATACTGATTATGTAAGATAGTGTTATAATATCTTATAATTAAATATTTATATACTTAAATATTTTATAAATTTTAAGTTTATTAAGTTGACCGTTTAAAAACCCATTACATCACCCTGTATTTTATTACTTTTCTAAACAAATACATATTTCCAATTAATACATTTTGATAAATTTTAAAATACTTTTTTTGATGAATTTTAAAATATACTTTTTTGTTATTAAATAATTCGACCTTTTAATAAATTTTATATTTGTATAATTGCTGAAAAAACTTAACAGAGACAACTTTTTATTTTAAATTTATTCTCAAGCTTAAAAATGACTTGTTAACAATGTTAACTTAACATGGTCATGAAAACAAGTTGTATTATTTAAAAATGACCATAATTTTGTGTTTATATGCATTGTGTGCTGTATACAGCACTATAGTAAATGATAATTATCCCGATTTAAATGATTTAAATTTGTATTGCAATGAAAATAATAATAGATTGGCTTACACTCTCAAAGAAATTAAGGAAAGATATCCATAGTGAGAAAAGAAAATGTGAGTTATTAATGGAAAAGACTGAAGAAAATTTAAACAATGAGTGGGAAAGCAAATTATTTTTCGAAAACGACATCAATAAGGTTTAAGTGGTAAAAATAAACTGGTGAAAATAAACAATTAAAATTAGATTTAGATAAGTTAAAAAAGGACCTTGTAAGTGACAAATAGAGCTAAATAGAAAACTAAACGATTGATTTGATTTGTTTGATTTGAAGGGGAGCCTTTGCAGGCAGCAAGTAGGCACACATACGGCCCATTTTGCAAAACAGCCTTACCTTACGAGCCCGCATGCATTATTTTCTCTGGTTCCAAATATCTGTTCCCTAGGTGTCTTAGTCTACTATTGACTAGAGCGTCGCATTCGCAGACTATATGCTCGGTAGTTTCGTCTACTTCGCTGCAGTACCTACAATCCGCCTCGTTGCAAAGTCCGGTTTTGTGTAGGTAGTATTTGACTACCCAGTGTCCTGTTAGGTCTCCTGTGATGGCTCTTAACTGGTTCCTGTTAAGTTTCAGGAATCTTTTTGCCTCTTTGCAGTTAGTAGGACCCTTTTTAAAGACCTTTGCCAGAGGCCTTGTTGTTTACACCATTTGTTCTGGAACTGGTTGTTAGTCCAGTTCCTGATTCTGGTTCAGCCCCAAAAAGGGCGTGTTACTGCCCTCACGAGCCTGCTGGTCTGCTTCCTCGTTGCCTTTGATGCCTCGATGACCCGGTAAACAGATAAGGTTAACCTTGTTGAGCACACTGAGTAATTCAAGGGTTTTTATGCAGTCCAGTGTAAGCCTCGAGTTGACCCTTTCTGAGTGAAGAGCCCGGAGTGCTGTTTGACTGTCGCTACATATGTAGATTTGTTTACCCGAGTAGCCTATCTGGAGATTCTCTTGGGCGCAGGATGGCAAAGATTTCAGTCTGGTATACCGTTGGGTGATGACCTAGTGCAAGGTTTATTCTTGACACCGGTTCGTTCCCCATATAAACCAGCTCCTGCACCTTCTTTCATTAGAGACCCGTCTGTGTGCCAGATCAGCCCTTCCGGTTTGAGGAAGACTGGGTCAGGCTCGCTCCAGTCGTTTCTAGAAGCGAAAACCACTTTGTATCTTTGGCATTGCATCCCTTCTTAAGAGAAGGGGGTCCCGGTTGATAGTCTCAGTCCAGGCCCTTCCATGCCCTGAGTTCCCCCCCCCCCGTGAGCCCACTGTTCCTGTAGGTGGGCTTGCTCAACGCATCCACCGTACAAGGCTGCCGTATGTGATCATTGGCCTTATAACTGTTGTGTAAAGCCAGTACACTTTGTGCGGTTGTAAGCCCCAGGTGCGTTCAATGGTCCTTCTGCATGCCCAAAGGCTATAAGTGGCCCTCTGGGTCCTCTGTTAACGTGTTCCTTCCAGGTCAACCTAGAGTCAATGATGACTCCCAGATATTTGACTGATTTGGATTGGGTCAGTCTTTATCCAAAAATCGTGAGCCTTTCAAGGTTCACGTTTCTTCGGTTGGTGAATGGTACTACTTCTGTCTTATCCGGATTGACGGATCTTTGCACCTTATTAAGAGCTCTTTGCATGTTCTCTTTAATAGTGTTTGGTACCCTTCCGGCTACGATAATGACGAGGTTGTCCATCCAGCACTAGGCACCACAGCAAGGGCAATAGAACCCCTCCCTGAGGGCAGCCTCTGACTACGGTTGAGCCGATCTCCGTAGTTCCAATCGAGCTTGTAATGATCCTGCTTTCAAACTTAACACGGATCCATTTGACAATGGTATTCTTTATGCCAAAGCCCTCTGCAGCTCCATTTATCGACTCGAAGGAGGTGTTGTTGAATGATCCTTCAATGTCTAGACACGCGCCCAGAGCCATCTCTTTAGGACGGGTCCCTCTCTCCAGTCTTGTCACAAGGCTGTGAAGAGCGGTCTCTGTCGATATGGCTGTCCTGTAGGCGTGTTGATTAGGATGCATGGGCATTGTGCGTAGCTATGTAGAGATAGCTATACAAAAGTTGCTGTTAAATTTTACCCCCTGATTGGCGTAACATTAAGCAATAGTATAAATAGGTGTCCACGGGCCAACTGGTTAGTTATTCGTTTAATGTAACCCCGCCATTGAAACAAGCGGTTAAGATTAGAAGGGAGGGGGTCATTTTATTATTTTTTTTCAAGGCCAAGGTCGTTATATTTTTTGTTACCTATTTTTTTTCAGAATTTTTTTTTGTTTTTTTTTTGTTAATTTTGAGAACCTGAGATTAAACTCCATTGTAAAGTCCAAGGGAAACATATTTGCAACCCTCAAGAAATATTTTCTTGTCGGCACCAATAAAAATTTTCAGGCCTACTTGTAGAAAAATATAATCTTCATTGCAAACTTGTTCAATGTTACCCTGGAGTTCAATGTAACCCCGTTTTACGGTATGTTGTTAACTTTATTTAATTTATAGAATAAAAAATTAATTAAACATAATGACAATATTTTTCGGATAGTTTTAGTTAGGAAGCAAATTGTAGATAGTTCATTATTTGTATTACAACATTTATTTAAATAAATCTGTTACAATAATAAAATATAGTTTTATATCAGATTATTTTCTTCTACATATATTAATTTAAACCATGTATTAACATTATAGTTATTTAAAATGTAAATAGTACATCAAGTTAATAAAACTACATCTAAATATACAATTAAATCAAAATCAAGTTTATAGCAGTTTATTCACATAAAACATACATTGTAAACATAACAACATTAAAAAATAAAAAGATAACTTTATAAATAAAAACTATATCTATAGATATTTTTTATTAGTTAAACGAAAAAATAAAATACACATTTATTAAATTATTTGAAAAATTGGATCTCATAGATTAAATATAAAAAATATAGCATTACAATATACTTATCTGTAAAAAAGTGCTATTCCTAAACTTACTTTTGATTAGAATATATATATATATATATATAAATATATATATATATATATATATATATATATATATATATATATATATACACTGCGCGTCAAAATTAACGCATAATAAGTAAAAAAATTCTAACTCTAAAACGCCTTTAAGAATCTTTATAAAATTTTGGATAAAAATACTTTAACTTATATCTCAGTTTACGTGTTCAAGGGTTTTTCGAGAAAATATCCTTAAAGCCCTTTTATTTAATAATAAAAAAACTCTCGAAAAAAAAACTTTTATAGGAAATTTTTTTTAAGTAAATAAAAAATATGCTGTTAAAACCGTATTTTTGTTAGTATACCCTGAAAATTTTCTACAAATCAAACAAACAGTAACAAAAATAAAGCGCTTCAAAGTCGTCAAAAATGAGCACTTTTCTGCAAAATAATCAAAAAGGGGTTATTTTACGGACTTTGAAGCGATGTATCTTCGTTACTGTTCGTTTGATTTGTACAAAATTTTCAGGGTATACTAACAAAAATACGGTCTTTAACAGCATATTTTTTATTTACATAATTAATAAATTTCCCTAAAAGTTATTTTTCAAACGTTTTTTTATTATTAAATAAAAGGACTTTAAAAATATTTTCTCGAAAAACCCTCGAACTCGTAATCTGAGATATAAGTTGAAGTATTTTTATACAAAATTTTATAAAGATTAATAAAGACGTTTTAGAGTTAGACTTTTTTACTTATTATGCGTTAATTTTGACGCGCAGTGTATATATATATATCCCAATTTTACAATGTGGCTCCCGCTTTCGAGTGCAACTTTGTTTTGCCTTTAAAAAATTTTCCAATGAAGGCAGGGTCCTTCTAAACCATATAACAAAAAATTTGAAGGGGGGTTAGGGGGTTTTTGGACAGTTTCTTCTTAGAGAACACTCACGCTTATCTCTTTTGGAACACACAGTTTCAACGGATCAGACATTTCGGGCTCTGTCAGGTCTAGACCGTAATTTGATTCAGGTTCAAGCTCGATTGGATTTGGAAAATCTATAGAGAACGTGATTGTAACTTTTTAATGTATAAATTAAAGACATAATCTTCCATACACCCTCATCTATCAAATGGATAAACAATACTAATTATTTTTTCAAAAATATTATTTATTTATATATATAAATTCTAAATATAAATGTCACCAAAAAATGCATTAAATTTCTTATAGCTTAAATTATTATATACGATTTTAACATTCTTACTCAAATAATTTATAAGTTCTTGAGTTTCTTTTTTTAATATAAGCTACCCAAAGTACCTGCATTATTTAAAATGTCTAAATTAAGAATAACACATTCATTTAATTTTACTTTAGCAGGCAATTTATCTTTCATAAATAAACCTTTAAAATAAGATATTTTAAGCTTTTGTGCATATTTTACCAATTCAAAATGGAATAAGGCTCTATTGGGTAGCTTTATTGGTATTTTTTTTTAAAAAGCCTCCCTTGGCGTGTTTTCTTAAGTAAAGCCTGGATCCTTGGCTGCCTATTTCGTCCATGATTTGGTTATGTAATTTTTTTCTTCCAGTTTCTTTTTAGCATTTCTTGTACTCGTAACAGTTTTAGCTACAGCGCTTGCGCCGCCCGCAAGCGAACCAAAAAGCCCTTAAGCCGGATTTATAGTTCTAAAACGTAGCCGTAGTCGTTGCAGTTGCAGTTGCCCTATAGGGGCAAAACCAGTCTGTGATTGGCTGGAGGATGTTTGCAGTAGCATCCAAGGTCGTTGTCGTAAATTGTCGTAAGAGACGACCAACTTTTATCTTTTCTTGCGGCAACGACTACTACAGCCAATCAAATTGCAGGTATTGCAGAGATTTGTAATAACTTAAAGTTGGCAACATAAGTTGGTACGTGTTTGTTCTGTGAGCGTCATTTTGTGGCAAAAGAATTTATTGTGCGTTTGATTTTGAAAATAAATAATATTTATAAACTTTTTCTCCGCGGAACGAACGTTTAGTTAAGTTTTGACAATGGATATTGCATTATTTATAATTATGATTCAATCGTTTCCGCATTTATGGGACTTGAAAAATAAAGATTATAAAAATGCGGAAATGAAGGAGCAGAGTTGGCTGCAGATGGCATGGGCCATGGAGTCCAATGGTAAGATATTGGAGGAGATATAATATAATATTTTATGTGAAATATTTACAGTTTCTGATTGCAAAAAGCTATGGAAAAGTCTGAGGGACCGCTACTCTAGAGAGAGTCGAATGCTACCTTCAGGCTCCGGCAGTGGTACATATAGATGGGAGTTTTTTCAAGCCATGTCTTTTTATAATAAGTGCTTAGTTCGCAGAAAGTAGTATTCTAATAATATGTTATTATATAACTTGTAACTGTATTGTTTGCTGCTAGGAGAGTTACAACCACACAAAGAGTGCCTGCAGAGGTGGCACCATCGACTTCATCTAAGGACACCATTGAAGCAAACCCCTGGAGCTCTCTGGAGCATTTAATGCCCACTGAGTCCATGCAGGAGTACGAGGAAGAAGGCAATGAAGAGGCAGAGTCACAGGCAGAGTCGCAGGCAGAGTTGCATGATACCCCTGACCTGGTGTCTCCAACACATCATCTCGGTCCATGTCGGCAACTGCTTCAACCCGGCCGACCTCCAGGGCAGAAACCCCTATCAGTAAGTTGAACTTCACTTTCTTCATTCTTCAGCAGGGTTCATATGAAACTTTTTTTTTAAAGCAGTAGAAATAAAACTTTTTTTAAGAAAAAATTTGGAAACTTAATAAATTAAACATAGGATTCAAAAACTGTTTATTTTAAACATTAAAAACTTGACCAAAGTGAATTACAAAATGTGTAAGTGTAAAAAATTTCAGTGCAAACACATATTTTTATTGTAGGAGGACATAAACGCAAGGGTCCAGATATCAAGGACTTACTGGATATAGCTCGAGGGATTTCTACAGGGATTCAAAACATGAGACGTCCTGAGGAAACAGTTGGGATTAATGATCATGCTGTGGGCTATATAAAGTTAGTTCTTGACTCTTTAGAACCAAGTCGTGCTTTTAAATTACGAAGGGCATTACTACAGCTGACCCAAGATGCAGAAGAAGAGGATCTTCTCCAAAAAAGAAAAAAAAATATAGTATAATTTTAAAATACATTTAATTTTGTTTTAATACTCCATCCTCGCAATATCACAATAGTTAAAGGAGGTCATACTAATTAATTGGCAGTTAAATTTCACCTTAAGTCACGCTATAGGGGGAGGGTGGTCAGACAATTTGTGACTAGGGGGAGGGGGGTTAAATAACTTCGTAACGTCACTGTAGCAATTTTATTTCGATAAAATTTGAATTAGTGGGGTGTGGTACGTTTTGACCGTGTGACGACCAGGGGGGGTCGAAAATTGCGTGACGAAATATGCAAACTCCATCTATTGTCGTCATACAGGGGGAGGAAGGTCTTACAAATGTTGACTGGGCATGTAAAAAATCAGTTTAAAAAAAAACCTTAATTATTTAAAATGAATGCTGACAATTGATGATAAGAAAGGGGGGTGTTCATGATGTAATAGGTCCTTAGTAATAATGTATATTTACAAGTTAATGTTTATTAACTTTATTTAAAAAAAATATTTATAAACTATCTAAAAATATTTATAAACTACACTAAAAAAATTTATAAACTACACTAAAAATATTTATTTTTTTATTTAGAAAAATATTTATAAACTACAATAAAAATATTTATAAACCACACTAAAAATATTTATTTTTTTATTTAGACAAAATATTTATAAACTACACTAAAAATTTATTTTTTTATTTTGAAAAAATATTTATAAATAAAGATGGGATATTTAGGTACTAAAAACTGAAAAATAGGTAACTAAAAAGGTACTAAAAAAAGCATTTTAGGTTTAAAAAACAGCATTTTAGGTATAAAAAAAACATTAAAAGATCACGTTTCGTTTATAATTTTGTTTAGTCGCATACCCAAACACAGAACATACCCACAATAAACTATTTCTATGCAATAAACTGTGTTTCACTGAGTGACACTCACTACACAGAAGTTCTATGACAGAACAAAGAAGGTAACTGTAAAAAAACCTACTGTTACAGTCTGTGACCATAAGAAAAAATTCTATACCGTTGAGTTGCAACGGATAAAATATTGTCGCAAAATTTAAAAAGAACACAAAAAAATAAAATAAGTATAAATACGTAATAATAGGTAACAAATAGGTGAAAATGACAAATTAAAAAATATGTAACAAAAGTATAAAAAGGTAATTTAATGCAAAAACCTCCAAAAAAGGTAAAAAAGGTGAAAACAAGTTGAAAAAATAGGTAACAAAAGTATAAAAAAGGCAGTTTAAAGCAAAAACCCCCAAAAAAGGTAAAAAAGGTTAAAACAAGTTAGGTTCATATAAAAGAAAATCTTTTAAATCACATTTTGGCATTATTGGTTTTTAAATAGTTACATCGGTTGAAAAAAGGTAAAATAACTAAAATCCCATACCTATTTATAAACTACACTAAAGGGCTAGCCCTGTGGTTCGGTACCCTGCAATACCCTATCCATTTGCCATGGTAACTGCCCTGTGGGCGACATAAAATAATTGGTTAAAGTCGCGCGCACTTCATAAGTTTGCCGAACGGCATTATTTGAGGATAAACGTCCTACGGACCGCAGCGGTGCATCGATCTCAGCTCGCCAGCCGCCGTTATCTTGGTCGTTGCTGTCCACATATCCTGGTGGACAATAGGAGGCTCGCGAATTCCTACCAATTCCCTTCGCCTTACAAAAATTGTGTAGCACCACACAAGCTTTTACAATAGTGTCAACATTGTCCACTTTACAACTTATCATATTCCTTAGGATTCGCCACCGCGCTACTAAGATGCCAAACGTATTTTCGATACAACGGCGTGCCCTTGATAACCGGTAATTGAATATACGCTACGGTACCGTTAAATTACGCGCTGGGTAGGGACGCATTATGTAGGGTTCAGCGGAAATGCTTCATCCCCAACTAAACAATGTGGCACTGTCATATTCATGCCTAGAATTTTCTCTGGCAGTGGCACATTCATTGTCCCATCCTTAAAATTCATGCCAAAGTTGCTGTCACGAAACACACCCCCATCACTTTGGGACCCATATGCTCCAATGTCCACCAACGAAAACATGTAATTCGCATCACATGCAGCCATCAGGACAATACTAAAAGTTTTTTTATAGTTAAAAAACTTTGAGCCGCTTTTTGATGGACTCTGGATATGGATGTGTTTCCCATCCAGAGCACCAATGCAGTTGGGAAAATTCCATAATTCAAAAAAGTCTTTGGAGATGGCTTTCCACTCCTCCTGTGTGGATGGAGTGGCCAAATATACTGGCGACAACACATCCCAAATAGCACTGCACGTTTCCAGTATAATTTTATGCTGCCAAGCCAAATTTTGCATAGTGCCACCTTGGGATAGGAATTTGCAATGAATTCGATTAATGTGGGTGAATATACAGTTTATATTAAATAAGTACTTACAGTAAAGTAATTGCCAGTCTTTCCTTGGCTGAGATGCCATCAGGCAGTGTCCTCTTACATATACGGGGGGCAACTTTGTTTAAAAGATGGTTAAAAACAGGGACCGTCATTCTGGTGTGCTTAAAAACTGCTCCTCATCCCTCGCTTTCATTTTTAAAAAATGTTTAAAATGGCCCTTTGTGGCACGTTCCCTGTTTATGGGTCTCGTTTTATATCGACGCACCCGACCATCCCCATGCAGCGCGGCAGCACATAGCAACAACACCCCACATAATCCTGTTAAACTCAAAAACAAGGCTTCATCCTCCCAAACCATGTTTATAAGTAAACTAAACCAAATAAACAAAATAAACGAAGCGAAAATCACCGATACAAAATACTCGAAATGTTTGTAAACAGAACAAATGTAACTAACAAAATGTCAAGTGGCACCAAAATACGCATGCGCGGCCACTACTGCAACCGCTACGCGCTGAACTATAAATTGTAAAAATTAGCTACTTACTTACTGCAACTGCAACTGCAACGACTACGGCTACGTTTTAGAACTATAAATCCGGCTTTAATGCAGCTAAAATGGACAGAACTGGTAAAATTTAACCGCTTTTAAATGGGATTATACAGGATGCGTACATTTTTCCGTCCACCCACTTTTTTTACAAACATAAGAGTTGCACGAAAAATGCTGCCGATGATTTTTCAATATCTTTTCATTGGAAACGTCCAAATGTGAAGTATTTTTAGCAGAGATTTTTAAGTTTCATCAACGATATTTTGCTTAAAAGAAATTGGTCTCTTCTTTGTTGCCGATCTAGCCTTTTTATATTTTTGGGTAACTTCCATTTCTAATTTTTTATTTTTTTTGGCTTTATTTCAATTCCTAGTTTTAGTTTGACTTTCATACCTGTGGTTACTAGACAGGAATTAGCTGTTTCGCCCAAATTTGCATCGGAGGACTTTACTCGCTCCCAAGCTCGATTTTCCAATACCCAATCTGCTTTGTGTCTATCCTCCAACCTAGTATTTTTTGAATAGACAATATCGTGGACTTTACTTGCAGCGTCCAATGGGTTTATACCAGCATCACCCCTCTTAATTCTCTTGTCTAATTTAGTACCGGGAACACAGTACTAGTAGCCCCCTAAGAGGTGTGCCTCGAATGGTAGTTTATTAATTACTGGATTTAATAAACCGCCACCAAACTTCTTTTCATTATTATTAAATGTTAACATTGCATTGCATTGTATATAATAAGGAATGTATTTTTGTTACCTGCACAAATCTTTTTATAATAATTAACTCCCGTGCTATGTGCTATCTATACCAAAATAGTCTATGTTACTAGGATGTGACATATTCTTAAAATTTTCGCTCTAAAAGGGGTCAATAAAATATATATTTCTGAGGATTAGCGTTATCTACCGTTTTGTAGATAGGTGATACCGACTTATAATGGATTTCTACTTTACCAACAATACATTAGATATGTTATCGCAGTAGGACGATAGGTGTATCATTTTTATGAAATCATAACAAAAAAATCTTAATGTATGGCTCTATGGAGGTTACACCCTGATGGGGTACAGCGGAGCACCCTCTAGAGATATCTGATAATCCAAAATGGTAGTCTCTGTAGCTAGGTGATACCGACTTATAATAGATTTCTAATTTAGCAACAATACATTAGATTTTTTATCGCGGCAGGGCGCTAGGTGCATCATTTTTATGAAAGATTTCTACTTACCAACAATACATTAGATTTGTTATCACAGCAGGGCGCTAGGTGCATCATTTTTATGAAATCATAACCTTAATAGCGGGCTCCATGGGGTTTACACCTTGATGGGGGACCCCGGAGCACTGTCTAGAGATATTTGGGAATCCAAAATGGCGGCCCTCGTGTAGACACCAAGCAAGTAGCGCCACCATGCGGCTGTCATGTGAACTGGTGTTATAGAATCTGCATTGTCTTTCTACTCCAATTTATACAGCAAATATAGAAGAAAGTATTTTGATGTATTTGGGAGGCCTCCTGCATTAAGCGAAATCAAAGAAAGGCATATAACAAGTGCAATAATTACAGTCGCCATTTATGGATAATCTTTTGCAAAAGAATATACAAAAGAGTGCAGTCATATCTAAACCACAAAGGAATGATAATTCGTTGTTTTTAAGAAAACCTTCCTGGCAAATTGCCAGTGGCAATGAATGGCTAAAATTTTTCCTGAAGCAAAAATTGTCTTAGAAATACTGAGAATATGAAGAGATCCAGCGCAGAAGTTCATGATGATGTACTAAACCAATATTTTTACAAAAAAGAAAAACAAATGGATGCTTTGCCAGAACCTGGTGTCCCAGGATAACAAACAGTTTTTGTGAAAAAATTAAAAAAACGCTCAAAAAATATTGGGCAACTCTTCAATTTCCGAAAGGTTACCATTGTATAATGTCTACCAGGCAAATCTTTCAGATTTTTGGCTAGCAATCCTCATAATAATAAACTTAAACTATGTAAATCAATTTGAAGCATTTTTAGGGTACAGGCTTTTGCATTTAATAAATAAATTTGTATACTATACAAAATGAATTTCAAAACTTTTAAGTAAGTATACTTATAAAAAAATATAAGCAGAATTATTATATTTGCTTATATTTTTATTACCTTTACTGCTTGTGCAATGAATTTGAATTTAAAAGCGAAAATCTTAACATTTTTCTTATATATTTGTAATTTCC